GAACTAGTGTAGCAGTGTACTCAGTTTTCTAAAGTTTCCGATTCCTATTAAAAGGTATAGTTCCTGGCAACACCAATGAAAAAATGTAATAACCTCTTAAAAGACTTCCTAAATATATTTCCAACAGGAGTTATTATCCTCTTCAAGGAACAAATCATCAGGGAATTCCTTGGAAATTTTAATGAAATGGGTCATTTCATTCAATTATATGATACTACTACCATTACACACCAGATTCTTTGCACAAAACTGCTGAAACGTAGTATAGACTACTGGTAGCAGCAAAAAAATACGAAGACAGAATAGCCAGCCGTTTAGTTCCTTCCACAAACCTGCCGGAACTCCTTCAGCAAGCGTGACTACTTTGGAAGACGCGCCTTCCGCAAATTTATCGCCAACTACAACATCTACAGGCAGATGAATCTTGACATTTTTTTCTTTGGCCTTAGCCAGCAATTCCTTGACGATCTTGGCACCCTCAAACATTAAATATCGTTTAATCAAATGACAGGACGCTGCTTGGCTAACTTCATTAACTCAAATCAAAGTGAAGTATGCACTCTTAGTTACCTCCTGATCAAAAAGTGACTTTCCTATCTCGACGTTCTGGTCAACCTTGAGGAACGTAAAGGCCATACCGCCACCAATAATCATTTCGTTCACCTAATCGACAAGAGATACGAAGGAATAAAGAATAGCAAGAGCCATTTTAGCAAACCTTGTCAAGCATATTCTTAATAAGTTGAATTTTGTCCGCGACTTTTGCACCACCGAGAATAGCCAAAAATGGCCTGGCAGGATCACACAGTGCCTGAAATTTCCCATGGAAGTGTTCTTTCTAGAACAAATTCGGGATTCTTCCATACTTTCCCAAAGTAAACTAGCTCGTTCTTCATCAAAAATCCACAAGCGCGCGTATCCAACTTTACACCAACCATCGAACTGAAAACCACGTGTTGGTTGGAATGGTACATCGATCATTTAGTGATAACAGCTTTGAAGAAGAAATGAACCTATGAGCCCTATGCGCAGTTCCAAATGCGTCATTAACATAGATATCACCGAGTTTAGTTAACGAAGCGCGAAATTTCTCGATGGATTCAGGTGAAGCTTTTATCTGAAAATCAAAACTTCAGTAACAAACACACAAACCATGCGCACACCACGCAATTCTTCCGGATCAAATCAACGTACCTTCTCACCACTCTCATTCACACATTTGCCTTCTTCTTCAACATGGAAACGTAGGTTTTCGAGCAAAAAGACGGAGCCTGGAGCTGGATCAGCAACAGCAGATTCCACCTGATCACCAACGCAGTCCTCTAGGAATTTTACTTCCCTGGAAAAAAACTCTGGATGTGAACGGAAAACATGAGACAATGCAAAACTTTTAAACTAGATACAACCAAGACGAACTTATTGAGAAGTTTCTTTAGTTCATCGGCCACAGGAGCTAGTGTGTACTTCATGTTCTTTCTCCCGTCAGGACGCCCAAGGTGGGACATGAGAACGACGGATTTTGCGCCATTATCTAGACAATACTGAAAGGAAAATTTCAGAAATAGGTAGTGATTGTGAAAGTAATTTATTGACCAGGTTCTATCGAATCACATTCAGTGAAAAGAGACATATGTGAAGGGTTCATAACTAAGCAACAGCTTCTGAATTTGGTAAACAATGCGAGATGTTATGTACAGGGTAGGCTGCACAGGGCCAGTACTTCACCTACCGAATTTCTAAGCGGGAACTCTAGAAGAATGTACAGCGACCTGGTAAAGCACTGATTGCTGTCATTCAAAGGAATAGTCTAACTACACTAATTAAATTCTAAAGAGGAAGCAAAAACACGACAGCTAGATATTTACACTGTTGACAAGAGCTGGTCTTATATATAATATCACATGTACGTGTTGATAACAGGATGTCCAGAACCGCCATTTCGCAGGGTTGCCGAGGATGAGGGTTTTGGAACAATTCTTGAATAAAAATGCATTTGTACTCTGATAACTTGTATACAATAAGACATAATCGCAGTTATATGTAAGTTATGTATATGTAAGACATAATCGCAGTTATGAGCAAGTTACGAAACACTATGATTAAGTCCAGATCTGTTTCAAAACGTTCGACACAACAACTTAAGTAACAAAAAAGAATAAATAGCTTTTATTCTTTATAAATCACCTTTAAAGACACGAAATGTTAACATCAAGTATTTAAACAACAATGATTTTATGCCTCCCAACGGCTTACCGCTTCATCCTGGCTGGAAGGTGTTCCTAGGTGATGAGCTGAGATGTACAGAGGAGAATCCATCACCCGCAGGGTCTCCCAAGTTAGGAATGAGTCCGGCGTTTCCACCAGGAAGCCCAGTTAAGAGTGAACCAATACCAGGAACCACCACCGTTCTGGTATCAAACTAGTCGAGTGGTGGCAAA